CCTCACCAAAAACACAAAAACATAAAAACGCAATAAAGACAGCTCACAGAGTTGTGTAGTGGTGGCAATAGACACTGGAGCACCGGTGCTTGCACCAGCAGACGCTGGTGCTGGTGCAAGCACCTCTAGGTAGCTTTTCTGTAGGCTGCTCCTATTGCGACGTTGCTTGCCGGTCCAGGAGGGAAAAAGAAGGCACAAAAAAAAGAAAGAGCACTGTGTCAGGTGGTAAGGTGTGGATAGAGATAGAGCATGAGCTACAAAAGCATGTCTGAGCAACTGAGTTAAGATTAGGTGTACAGGAGCAGTCAGCAGCCACAACTTCCACTGGGCAAACAATGCAAGTGAGTGAGGCACTGCTGCAGTCGCCGAGCCGCTGCTGTCTGCNAGAAAGAGCACTATGTCAGGTGGTAAGGTGTGGATAGAGATAGAGCATGAGCTACAAGAGCATGTCTGAGCAACTGAGTTAAGATTAGGTGTACAGGAGCAGTCAGCAGCAGCAACTTCCACTGGGCAAATGCAAGTGAGTGAGGCACTGCTGCAGTCGCCGAGCCGCTGCTGTCTGCCGAAAAGCTGGCAAATAACTGCGCTGGTTTGCCAGTCAGACTGTGCAAGCAATGCGAGACAATGGGACACGGGGAAAAGATTTGCAGTGCCCAACACTACTGCAGCAGCCTAAGGGAGAGAAAAAGGCACTTGAAGGAAGAAGAAGAAGTGTGCTCGAGAATAGAAACGCCGTCGAAATGAGCTATATCTCCTGAACAGTTCAGTCTCTGGACAGTGGCCATAACCAGCAGCATCGGCAGCAGCAGCAGTCTCCTCACTTTATCGCATCTCCTCCGATTATGTAAGCGAACGGCTGCAAACATCTGCGCGCGATCACGGGCAAAGCATCAGCATCATCAGCAGCTTCATCAACAGGTAGCATCACGCTGCCGTGCCGCCTCGTTAGCTGTGAAGCCGTTCACTTTACTGTCTGCAGCTTGTGCCATCGTCCACTATGATTGCCTTCATCATCAACAGCATCAGCATCAGCATCGTTATGAGGGGCCGAGCAGCAGCCAATTAGCGGCAGCAACGAGCAGCTAATTGTTTTCCAGTCGATAGATACACAACAGAGGTGCCCTCGAAACAGCAAAGCAGAGCGGCGAGTCCAAATTCAAAAGTCAAAGTTCTCACCGATTTGTAGACCACAGCAACGACAACAGTACAGTTCTGAGTTTCAGTGTCAGAAAGGAAGTGTCTCATTTCACGAAGTCTCCAATGCTTTCCCTCCCTCTCTCGATATGTCCATGGCTGATCGCCTTCGTTTGAGCATTGTGTGTTTGCGTGCCAACTGGCAATGATGGTGATGGTGGTGATAATGATGAAGAGCACACCTGTGCGGTCTCCACTCTCTCATTGCCGCCAGTGTCCACGCAAAGAACAAAGATGACGGCGGTTCTTCAAGTAGGGCGCATCACTTTGCAAGAGAGCAGAAACAATTGCAAGTGGGCACTAACTCTTTCACTTCCAAGAACTGACAAGTGGTCAGTTTGACTGACTGGCAAAGACAAAGACAAACAAATGACTGTGAAGTACCTGTGAAATATCCTGTTAAGTAGTACATTGCCAAACCTGGCGAGCGGACTTGCACGCAGATCGCAAGGGGTGATAAGAGACACTGACAATGCCATAATGGTGACATTGAGCAAGTGAGAGAGTGAGAGATGGTGCCGCTGCTGCTGGCAAAAACAAATAAAGCAGGTAATATTAGGTGCTGCTGCTGGAGCAAATCAGCAGCAATCAGACAATAAGGCAGCAGCAGCAGAACCCGTTTGTCACCGACTTGTCACCGACAGGCAGCGAGCCAGGAGTGCAGGCAAGGCCGAGCCGAGATATGGAAGTCAGCGGAATGAGATTGTCAGTGTCGTGACATCGAGCCGCCGACGACGACGACGACGAAGACTAAACAAACAGTACAGGTTAATGACCACCGTTGTGTGAGCCACAGCACTCCTCAGGTGGCTAATTACTGTCAGTCAGACGGTGAGAGAGAGAAGTTGAGCACGGCAATCGAATTATCACTGCGGGTGTAGTGAAGTGCACTGGCCGCCGCCGCTCTGAGACGCTAAGGCTCACTGTTCTAGCTGTGCACATTACCTTCCATTGACAGACAGTCGGAGACACTACCGGCAATGACAGCGAGGAAATCTGCCAGCACAGTACAGAACAGCACAGTCTCTGTCATAGGAGCGAACGTCAATGAGGAGAGAGGACACAGACACCTGTGCGTACAGTGAATGAACGATCGATCGAGAGATCGAGTAGTACAGTACTTGTCTCCGCCTGTCGATGATTCACACTAAAGTACAGCTCTCTGGCTGTCTGTCAGACTGCCTGTTCTTTTCTGGGAAAAGAGAGAAAAGAGACGCATACAGGCGGAATCTGTCAATCAGCATCAGCTGCAGCAGTGGCTGTTCAAGATATGTCGCCAAAAACATTGTGCACACGTGGTCGATCAGAGAGTGAGCCACCGCCGGTGCCTGTCTGTCCTTTCTAAATGGCGTCACAAACCAAACACATCAATTAAGGTGATGGTATTGGTGTTTAATGGAAGGACCAAAGGGGAAAAGTGAGTGTTGCACCGACGTGTCAGGGACAGTCGGCAATGAAGGACAGGTAGATGTCAGTCATTGAGAGATTGTTGATGTCACAATCACAACAACAACAACAGTTCGTCTACACTATCAATACCGGTGCTCTGTACTTACCAATGGATGATTTGTGGTAATGAGGCGTTTAGAGCAGCGTGTGGGCACGGAGATGATATAAAAGCAGCGAAGAGAAGAACAGAGCACAACCAGACGAATGAATGTAGTCGGTTGATGCAATCACAATCACCAGAGTGAAGAGAGAAAGAATACTCTTGAAGAGATGGGGAAATCACACTGGGAGGATCAAAAGAAGACGAAAAAGAAGAACAAAGTGATGATTAGAGCAGATCAAAGCAGAGAAGAGCTGAAGATCAAAGGACGTGCTGACAAAAACAAAATCTTGTGTCATTCAGGCAGTGGACGTTTGTTTCTGCGGAAGTGTGACTGAGTCATTTGATGAGAAAGATCAAAGTCGGTCGGATTACACGTTCGTGATTGCACGTTCTTCCAATTCATCGTTTCGTCAGCAGACGTTTTTGGTATGCTGCTGCTGGTAACCGAAGTTGCTGGTGATGGTGCTGTAGAAGAGCAGCAGCAGCAGCAGTACCGGGAAAAGAGCGAGAAAGAGAGAAACGGTCGCCAGGCAAAACACAACACAACACAGAACACACAGACAAACGTGGAAAGAGTGAGCTGACGGGGATTGCACAATGGATGGTCAGATTGCGACGACGACGACGGTGGCAAGAAGTCACCGGGGAAGAGCGGATCAGCGGGCTTCAGAATGGGGGTACCCTGCGGACGGACGGAATCATGGAACCGTCTCTCTCGACTCGGGCACTTCGGCTGCGCCAGCTACTGCCGCTTCTGCTGCACAGTAGGCGCGTGTTTTGGGTGAACGCCATTGCCGCTGCTGCTCTAACCTCGGGTGGCGGCGGCAGTAGCCGATGATGCACAGAAAAGCACAGACACTGAAGGCACAGACACAGCTGGCTCACTTCGGAGGGGATTCATTGAGACAGGCAGCCAGTGGCAGGCAGACACAGGCAGACAGCGAGCAAAAAGGATCCCCGCTTCAGTGGAGTGCCTCTACCACCGTCGTCTGTTACTCACAGGCTGCTGCTGCTGCTGCTCAGGCAATAACCGGGCTGGCTGCTGACGTTCAGCTCTCATCATCATCATCACCATCATCATCACCGGCGGCAGCTAAGCTGAGCAATTACCAGTGCCATTACTCACTGTCCGAAGAGAACCAAAGAGGATTCTGACCAGGAGCAGCAGCAGCAGCTTATGACGCCTCCTCTGACGCCCGAAACCGATCGCCGAAATGGCAGGTGGTAGAGGTAGTGCACGACACTCTTCAGTGTCTCTTCACACTTTTCACGGGCCTGTGAACTTCTCTCTCTCTGTTTACCACTTTGTGAAGTGGTGGTGGTGGTGGTGGTAATGTCAATGGGGCGTGGCAGTTAAATTAGTGAAACAAGAGGGCAAAACAATGCCGGTTACGGGCGTGGCGCTTGCTTTCGAACTTGGTCACTTGGTATTTAATAAAGACTGGTGGACTAGGAAAACAATAGTTGCATTAAGAGTGATTGTGTGCAGAAAACTTTACTTATTGCTCACCTGTGCGGCTGATTTTGACAAGTTGATATTCTCAAGTTTTATAGTTAAGGCTGCCAGACTCCTTCGAGAAGGTCCGCAATGTCAGGACCGAGATTCAGTTGGAAGTCTTTTTGCCGAGCAAGGACCGAGCAGAATGGCATACAGTAATGACGATTACAATTGGTGAACTTTTAATGGAACATTTAATGGAAATGCAGTTCGAGCCACTTTTTGTTTACAATTTCGGTATTGCCGCCTAGTGACAAAAAACCAAAACTGCTTTTCAATGGTGTGATTCGCCAGTCTCGAGTGAGTGCACTTTTGATCAGATTAACATAAATGGAGAACTGCGCGAAAACCTTCCTGATTGAACGACAAAATTGATACATAAATAAAAGTATTTAGTAGGTAATACAGTAATACAGTAAACCAAAAAAATTANTTTAATGGAAATGCAGTTCGAGCCACTTTTTGTTTACAATTTCGGTATTGCCGCCTAGTGACAAAAAACCAAAACTGCTTTTCAATGGTGTGATTCGCCAGTCTCGAGTGAGTGCACTTTTGATCAGATTAACATAAATGGAGAACTGCGCGAAAACCTTCCTGATTGAACGACAAAATTGATACATAAATAAAAGTATTTAGTAGGTAATACAGTAATACAGTAAACCAAAAAAAATTAAAAGAAATATTTGTCGTAGTGCAGTTTGGGTAAGTGGTGATGAGAGAGAGATTTGTACAAGTGGAAGAAAAAATTCAAAGTGCCTAGTAGTTGTGCAGATAGCTGCGGTGGTGGTACGGCTTGTTCGGCCGCACAAAAGTGCTAATGTAGTTGAGATCCTCCAAGATCTCCTCCTCCTTGAGCATGTAGACGATGTAGGGGCCGCTGACGGTGACCGGTTTCCGCAACCGCTTGGCACCCTCGACGCCGTACACCTCCTCGTACAAGCTGAGTGAGTGCTTGCGACTTCCGCTGCCGCCATTTCGCTGCCTGTTGAAGGTCGACTCGTAGAGAAAGTCCTCCTTGTCGGCCGAGTTGAATTCCTCGTGCAGCTTGCGGATGCTCTCGTTGATCTCCTCCTTGATCGAGTCCTTCAGAATGCTCTTCTCGTTCTGTACAAACACAGGTGAACATTAGTAAAGGCACTAAAACAAAAAGAAGGGCTATACGAACGTTCAAGTTTTGGTCTAAAATTTCAGTGTTGGCGTTATGTTGAACGTAGGCGTAGTGCTGGCGGTACTTTTGCAGCTCCTGGCCAATGTGTATCCTCTCCTCCTTCTTCTCGTTCAAGTCCTCGAGGGGCTGATTGAACTCGTGCACTCTCTCCTCCTCCAAATCGAGCTGCAGTTCGTCGAAGAGGCGCATCTTCTCACACCGGTGCGCCTCTCGCACCAGGTGGTAGTACTCCTCGATCTTCTTTGCCTCCTTTTGAAGCATGTCTGACCGCTGGTCGTACTCGTTTTCAGAGAGATCTAAAATGAGAGGACAAATAGAAGAAAATAGGTGTTAGTAGAAGGTAAAGTAGAACTCCAAGGTAGAACCTGAGGTATCAACGTCATTAGCAGACATTGCATCGGAGGTGGCGATTGAATTCGAGTCAGAGTCGGAACCTTCATCGCCTTCCCCTCCTCCTCTCCTCGCCGAATCGACTTCTTCCTCCTCCTCCTCTTCCTCTTCTTCTTCCTCCTCTTCATGAGAGTCTTCGGCGACCTCCTCATTATCGGGACTCTCCGCGTCATCGTCATCCTCGTCTTCATCGTTGTCGTCGTCGTCGTCCTCCTCTTCATCGTCTTCATCGTCTTCATCCTCCTCCTCCATAGCGTCAATGTCATTGTCGATGCTGTGGTTTGAGTCTTCGAAACCGTCCTCGAGGTCACCTTGGTCCATGTTGTCTGTTTTGACTAATGGTGATGGTGATGGAGGTTTCTAAAAGCGAATAGGATGATAATGATCGTTTTTGTATTGTAATGATTACAATATAATCTCTTCTTTACAAAGTCGTTGTTGTTGTTTTGAGAGAAAAATAAATCAGCACAAAATGGTCGATTGGGTGGAAACGGGCGACACGCGGCAGGTTTTGGTGGGTGAAAATAGACGCTGCTGTTGCCTTGCGTTCTGTTTTGATGCGAGAGAGAGAGAGAGCGATGCTTTTGCGCGCAAAACCGTTGCAAGTCTTCCAATCGCCGATTCTGATCTCAACTTCTGCCGAAACCACTTATCTTCTACTTCATTCCACGATCCTTCTCCTCCTCCTCCTCTTCCTCTACGATGGACGCCAACAACAGCAGCAGTCAGATCACGCCGAAGAAGAACAAGTTCTTCCGCTCGCGAAACAGTAGCGGTTCTTCAGGAGGAGGACAGAAGCGCCCGTCTTCAGCGAGCTCTTCGTCGCCGCAGTGGTTATCACCTCGCACTCCCGACTCGCCCATCCAGCGCAAGGCCCGACGAGTCTACAACTTTCGCAAGGAGAAGGACAGCCTCTACGACAGCGGACTCGATGACTCGGCCTCGGAGGCAGATCTGGCGGTGAGTTGATAGCGGGGGAGAGGATTTCATTTTGATGAGGGGGATGACGTAATGATCGTTTTTATCTCTCACTCCCAGTCCCCGCCACGCTACTTCACCAACTTAATGGCATCCGGTGGAACCAAGTCGCTGCAATCTGAGGACAAATTTTTTCGTCTGGCTAATGAGTTTGACGCCTCGACGCCGGTCAAGAAGCAGCGCAGTTCGCCGTTGTTGCCGCCACCGAAGCAGAACATCTGGCAGGATGCCTTGGAGAAGAACGTAAGTAGAAAAAATGACATATTTTTAAAACACACTGCAATGACTTTTTTTGCAGCCTGAGCTGAAGGCGTTTGTCGAAAAGTTCAAAGCCGAGATGGCCGAGTTAGATAAGATGGAACTGGATGTGGTCGACCTCGAGGGCAATCCGATTACCCGCAAGCCGAAGTAATCTGGCTCAAAAAATGAAGACACTTCCCAGTGATTCCCTTTCTCTCTCAAACTTCAATTTGCAATACCCAATTCTTACAAGTCATTCTACTGCCATACACACCCGTCAATCCTATCCTAATCAACTGCCAACGCAATTGTTGCCCAATTTGAGGCCCATTACATTACTCATACTATTTCGTTTCTTTAATACCCGGTTACCAGGATCTTTAATCCTTCAAGTGGTGCTGTAGTCATGAGAAGAAAACGCCAAACTCCCAAGGTCTCATTCTATAATACTTCCAACTGCTCAATTTATCTCACCCACATATTTCTCCTTGGTCAAAAATTATGATCCACAGATAAACTTGTTGAATTTCTGTTCTCCCTGTGGGGGGACACCTTACGTACTTTTCATGGTGATGATGAGATGAAGGTGATGATGATGACAGTACAAGTTCGAAATTGAAAGCAAATCGGTCACTGGTAGTGGATGATATAGGGGGAAGAGAGTGAGGAGAATGGTTATGATTGTGCACTGCAGTGAAAAGTATGTTCCCCTGTCTCTCTCTTTCCCTATGATAGTTGTTGGTAATGGTTGTCTGTGGCACAGCTGTGAGTTGGAGTCTCGCTACATTTAGCCACTGCCACTCACTCACTCAATGTACTCAATGTATCTTTTTGTTGTTTGGTTCCTGCTTCTTCTCCTTCCTCAACGAGCCTTTCTTTTCCTTTTTGCTCTAAATTGAACATATGTACATAGAGTAAGGGAAAGTGATGTGCTGGTGGTATTGAAGGCAAAGCTGTGAACAATGGCGAAACGAGACAAAAACCAGATTCGATTTGACCTGATTAAGTGATCACAAAGGTAGAGTCATTAGTTCTAATTGGCGGTGGTGATGAGCGGTGATCTGATTCAGGTGTTGGCGATTGAAAAAAGACAGACGGTTCGATGAGATGAGATGAAACAGGTAACGGAAAACGGTGGTGAGTAGTGTGAATCCGAAGAGTGAATCCAGAAGAATCCAGAGAAAGAGAAGAAAGGAGAGAGCGAAACCAGAGCAGAGCAGAGACCATCCCAGCACACACATCACTGCCCAATCTGTATGCTACTCATCCCATTCACTTTCTCTTTCTCTGACATTTTCCATTTCGATAGGAGAGGATACGGCCACCACCACCACAACTGTAGAGCAGCAGCACTCTTCTCTCTCTCTCTCTCTCTCTCTCTCTCTCTTTCTCTCTCTCTTTTCATCCTGATTGAGTCGTATCCTCCAGCCTCTGCCATCTTCCTTCAGCACGGGAAAACTCACTTTACCCTTCAACGAAAATCACGACAGGCAGAGAGAGAAATTGGAAGCAGGAGCAAGTGGTGACCTTACAGTGTTCCACAGCAGAATTCGATTCTCCTAATTCAATTACATCTCAGAGTTGAGTGTTCAACAAGAGTTGAGTCAAACAAACCGATGACAAGGCTTCGATGAGATAAAACAGATTCATNTTCCTTCAGCACGGGAAAACTCACTTTACCCTTCAACGAAAATCACGACAGGCAGAGAGAGAAATTGGAAGCAGGAGCAAGTGGTGACCTTACAGTGTTCCACAGCAGAATTCGATTCTCCTAATTCAATTACATCTCAGAGTTGAGTGTTCAACAAGAGTTGAGTCAAACAAACCGATGACAAGGCTTCGATGAGATAAAACAGATTCATTCAGGTGACCTAAGATTCTTTAGAAAACGCAGAGATAGTCTTTATCTCAGTTACAGTCTACCCTCACTTCAGTCAGACAGACAGAGAACAGAACTTGCCGCCGACTTGAGAGTACCCTTCCTTGAGCACACATGAGGAGGATGGGGAAAGTGTGTGTGTGTGATTACGCAATGGATGTTGAGAGGGAGCAGCGCGCGCCACAGTGCCAGCGAATCAGAGAGGCGAGCTCACACTCTATCCTACACTCTTCACTCTTTCGCCTGCTTTGCGTGCTGCCTGGCAGCGGACAAACACTCTGCACGCTGCTTCGGTCGCCACCGCCGCCGCAGTCTCTCTTTCTCCCTCTCTGGAGCAGCACGTTGCTCCCTCTCGCTCTCATGCCGCCTTTGTCCGCCATCGCCATCGGCATCGTCAACAACAACGCCACCGACAGGACCATCGCCTCAACAACAAAGAACGCTCTTCTTCTCTTGTAGGTAAGTCCTTCCATCTTTGCTGTCAACCCTTTCCCCTTTCTGTCCCTTTACTACTTTTCCTATCTGCCATCTTTCTGTTAAGAGTCTGTTGCTGTTGTTGCAAACACTTGTCTAACACTTTTTGGTAGTGGTCTACTTTTCTGCTAAACCCTTTCCCTCCCCGACCTTACACACCCAACAACTAATTTTAGCGGTGATGAAATCTTTGTCCTTCGCCCTCCAACTTCTCCTCTTTATCCGGTTATCTCTCAACTAGTAGTAACTGCTGTTTGCACCCTAATTTGCCAATTATTTGTCCCTCTTTCATTTCATCAGTCGAGCAGTTGAGTTGAGCGATACAATTCAGTTAGTGACAACTGCAGCAGCAGCATCAGCTACTTTCTCCGAGATAACCAGAGAAAAGAAGCTTACTCGTTGTGTCTGTCAATGTTTGATGTCGTGGCCATATGTGTGTCTGTGAGTTGACGTTAATCTTTTGCCTTCCAATACATCACCACCATCCACTACCAAAGCTGATATGGAAGTCAACTTGAAGGCCTGTCTCCTGCAGTGGTGGTATTGGTTGCCCCAGTTGAAGCTTTCCGGACACCACGGTTTCATGGAAACGCTAATGCAGAAGACCACTTTTCACTTTCGTTCCCCGTTCCCAATAAGGGCAGCCCACATTCCTCCAGCCATTCAGCCGCTGCTGCACATTCCAAAAATTTATTATTTCTCCACCTCATCGGCAGCATATTCCCCCTCNCCACTTTCGTTCCCAATCAGGGCAGCCCACATTCCTCCAGCCATTCTGCCGCTGCTGCACATTCCAAAAATTTATTATTTCTCCACCTCATCGGCAGCATATTCCCCCTCCTTTCCATCGACCATTCCTTGCAACAGCAGAAGCAGCCAAAGACAGAGACAGAGACACGGTCGTTAAAGTTCTTCTCCATTTAGCGGCGAGCACTTCACTTATTTATGCATACACTCTTTCTTGAATGCTGACTGAATCGAATAAGACACCAAACTGCAGTGTGCCTGTTTCTGTAGCCCCTTCTCTTTCTGCCACACAGACACTCAATGCTACAGCAGCAGCTGCTGCCGCCATCTTCTCCAAGATGGCCATTTTTAGGCGAAGATAGGAAGGAAGCGATAGCGGCGACGGCGGAAGGCAAACAGCTCGATACTGCTGCAGCTAGCTCTCTTCTACCCTCGCTAGCCATTTTCCCTGTCTATCCAACAACAGCAGAGAGTGGGCACATATAATCTCTTAGTGCCAAAAACAGCAGGCACAACTGCTTGCATGCTTGCTTATTTTTGCAATCTTTCTTTCTCCGAATATCCTGCCACAGTACCTCTCTCTCTCGTTGTGTAGTTGTGTGCAGCCTTAGTAGTAGTCTTCGTGGCTGTCTGAATGTAGCAAGCGAGAAGTGCTGTGCTGTTGTGCACCACCATGGCAGCCGAAACCAGACAGCGGAACAGTCCATCGACGACGGCATTTACGGTGCAGTAGTAGTGCCACCATTCCCCCATAACTCTGCCCCATCTGTCCCTCTTTCCAGCTAACTAACTAACTAGCTAGCTAGCTATCCTAGCTCCCCTCTGCCGACATGGACTCTACTCTGTTTATTTCTCGGGAATATTCGAGTGAGAGAGAGAGAGAGAGAGAGAGAGCCTTGAGAGGGAGAGGAGAGGGAGCTCGGAGACACAACAGCATTTCTGTGGCACTGACAGGCTTCAGCTCCATTTTCATTTTATTTTTACTGTTTCCCAGCAGCAACAGCACACCAGCAGTGCAGTTAAATTGAACGCTACGGAGAGTGAGTCAGTGAGAGAGTGGCACCCGATTTTGCCAGCTGCTGCTGCTTCTGATGCTGGCTATATACCAGTGCTGGCTTGCCAGTGTAGCATTTTCTTTTTAGTTTGCCAGTCTGTGTAGTAGTGAGAGAAAGAAAGAAATGCCAGTAGGCTAGTAGGAGAGGTGTCCGGGCTGAAACTGAACGGGAAAGAGAATGAGAAAAAAGAAGTGCTCTCTTCTGCTTTTTCTTCGCCAGCTAGTTTGTGTCCACTTGGCCACCACTGCTCCAATTGTCTAGGTTTTGCCAGGCCTCACTGTTCTCTCTTTTCTCCACTTATTCTGTTGCACAACCGACCGCCATGAGAGACAGAGTCAGTCGGTAATGGTGTGCTTGCGACACTGACACTGCTGCTGATTGAGATTGAGTGCTCCCTGCAGTGCTAGTGCTGCTTTTTAGCACTGAAGACACATAGCACTTTGCAACTCCTCAACGTTGAAGGTACGATAAGACGGTGATGCTTTGTGAACTGTTTGTTTATCCCCCTACCCCCAGTTCACAAAAGCCACCACCACCATCACTCTCCATCTTCAGACACATCTGCATCACCTCTAGTCTCGTCTTTTCGCCGACATTAGCATCCCAGACACTTGCTGACTGTTTGATGAATGCCTGATGGCAGATAGTGTGCTTGATGTGTCCTTGGTCAACAACCAGTGCTTCAGACAGTCTGGACAAACAGCACCTCCGCCGCCACCACTACATTGCCCCTTTCCCTTCTTTCATTGCTAATTTCCAACAATTGCCACAATTTTGCAGTGTCCTCGGCAATTGTCTGCTCTCTTCTCAGTCTTCACCTTCAAAGCACACACAGACAAACNCTGGCTATATACCAGTGCTGGCTTGCCAGTGTAGCATTTTCTTTTTAGTTTGCCAGTCTGTGTAGTAGTGAGAGAAAGAAAGAAATGCCAGTAGGCTAGTAGGAGAGGTGTCCGGGCTGAAACTGAACGGGAAAGAGAATGAGAAAAAAGAAGTGCTCTCTTCTGCTTTTTCTTCGCCAGCTAGTTTGTGTCCACTTGGCCACCACTGCTCCAATTGTCTAGGTTTTGCCAGGCCTCACTGTTCTCTCTTTTCTCCACTTATTCTGTTGCACAACCGACCGCCATGAGAGACAGAGTCAGTCGGTAATGGTGTGCTTGCGACACTGACACTGCTGCTGATTGAGATTGAGTGCTCCCTGCAGTGCTAGTGCTGCTTTTTAGCACTGAAGACACATAGCACTTTGCAACTCCTCAACGTTGAAGGTACGATAAGACGGTGATGCTTTGTGAACTGTTTGTTTATCCCCCTACCCCCAGTTCACAAAAGCCACCACCACCATCACTCTCCATCTTCAGACACATCTGCATCACCTCTAGTCTCGTCTTTTCGCCGACATTAGCATCCCAGACACTTGCTGACTGTTTGATGAATGCCTGATGGCAGATAGTGTGCTTGATGTGTCCTTGGTCAACAACCAGTGCTTCAGACAGTCTGGACAAACAGCACCTCCGCCGCCACCACTACATTGCCCCTTTCCCTTCTTTCATCGCTAATTTCCAACAATTGCCACAATTTTGCAGTGTCCTCGGCAATTGTCTGCTCTTTTCTCAGTCTCCACCTTCAAAGCACACACAGACAAACACATATTTCTCGCCTGACCAAGCAGACTGACTGTCTGTCAAGGTTTTGCTTTAGCGGCAAAAGTTAGCAAGTTCATCCAGAAAAAGAGTACTTGTTCATGTAAGTGTTACAAAAAGCACAGGTGCCACTGCGCTTCTCTTCTTTTTGTTCACCACTCGGTGGCTACTTTTTCTGCCTGACGACCTTGGCTGCCTGCTGGCCATTATCGTCACGACTACGACTACCTTTGTCAGAAAGGTGCACTCCTGACTAAGGAGAGGAACCTGCTGCTCACTCTTAAAGTCTGCCTGACTGCCAATCCACAATGGAGCAGCAGCAGCAGCTGAAGACAATTGGGCACTCGTAAATGGCTACAAATGTGTCCAACACGCACACACAGGACAGCCTGTACAGTGCCAACGGCAGCAGAGGCAGTCTAGCACAGTTCCCTCTAGCAGCACAAAGGCAAAAGATCGCTTCACAAATAAAGTTGCAGAAAGAGAGTGGCAGCTGAGGAGAGAGAGGGAATACATGCACACACGATCTACTCTTGTAACCAGCGCACATAGTGCACAGCTACCAGTTCCACAACAACGGCGGTGGCGGCGGCAGTCGCTCGAATTGCAGCCATTTCATCAGACGACCACACACTCAATTCCTCCACACACCACAAACACACAACTGAATCGCCGATCCCTCCTTTGCTGGAACTCTTCTGCTTTTCTGATGGCAGCACTACTACCACTCTCCATCAGCTGAGACTGCTGTTTCTCTGCTTTCACTTTCACTCGATGTGTTTTGGTGTAGTGCAGAAACAAAGTCATCAGAAAAGCACGATTCCAGACGGTTCCATCTGTCACCCCGACAAACCTCTGTACTCTTCTTGCCTTCTTTCTTCNTGGCGGCGGCAGTCGCTCGAATTGCAGCCATTTCATCAGACGACCACACACTCAATTCCTCCACACACCACAAACACACAACTGAATCGCCGATCCCTCCTTTGCTGGAACTCTTCTGCTTTTCTGATGGCAGCACTACTACCACTCTCCATCAGCTGAGACTGCTGCTTCTCTGCTTTCACTTTCACTCGATGTGTTTTGGTGTAGTGCAGAAACATCATCAGAAAAGCACGATTCCAGACGGTTCCATCTGTCACCCCGACAAACCTCTGTACTCTTCTTGCCTTCTTTCTTCTTTCTGCTTTTCATTCCGCATTTCCTCCCTCTCTGAACCTTTAAACCCTTCACCTAACATTTGTGTGTGTATCTCTGCCTCAGCTCTCATCACTTCAACTCGTCTCTGATTACCACAACAACCCTCAACAAGGTGGCCAGCAAAGTTGACTCTGGGTTAAGGTTTGTTATTGTTTGTGTTTGCTCATTTCAGGCCCTTTTGTGCTAACATTCGCGTTTTCATTCTCCTTCAGGCTGCCTCACCATGGCCACCCCAGCGACCACCTCGACGACCTCTAGTGCCCTGACCGCCGCCGCCAGCGGCACGGCGCCCTCCTTCAGCTACGCCCAGCTGGAGGCACTGGACCCGGCCGGTTTCGGGAAGCACCCGCGCTGTTCCCGATGTCGCAATCACGGCATCAGCATCATTCTCAAAGGCCACAAACGGAGCTGCCAGTACAAGGACTGCGAGTGCGACAAGTGCCTGCTCATTGTGGAGCGGCAGAAGATCATGGCGGCGCAGATTGCCCTCCGCCGGCAGCAGCAGATGGAGGACGCCTTCAAGGACCAGTTCCTGATTAGGGAGCAGCGGGAGAAGGCGGCGGCGGCCATGGCCGCGGCGTCCGCTGCCTCGGCCGCCGCAGCGGAGGCAGCTGCCGAGACGGCCAACCGGGCGGCCCTGCTGGGCCCGCCAGCTCTGACCACCGGTGAGGAGCAGCAGGGCACGTTGAAACGGAAAGCCGAGGATGTGTCCTCGCAGGAGGGCGAGTTTGGGTCTAGCACTGCCAACCCCTCAACTTCCACTGAAGCGGCGGCGGCAAAGCGAAAGTCGACCTCTGAGGCGCTGTTTGACGACACTGACAGCAACAGCAAGGACGGCCTCTTCTCCTCCTCGCACCAGTACTCTAGTCTGGAGCAGGACAATGACGCCTGCTCGATGATGACCGACGATGACCACTATGGTGGTGGGGGCGGTGCCTCCTACCGCAGCAATTCACCAGGTATGGCCTTGATTTGTATTTGTACTTTGCGATTTTTACTAATCGAATTTTGTTTTGCACAGATTCCGATGAGGGCTCGCAAAGAGAGGCCGGCAGTAGCGGAGGAAGAAACGGCATTGCCCACCTCACCGGCGACCAGTTTGTCGCCAAGATTCAGGAGCTGCTGAAGAATCTAAAGAATCGCGGCTTCTCGCCGGTGAGCAACCTGGAGACGCAGTGTCTGCTGGCCACCATTCTCAATGACAACAATGGCAATGTCATCGCCTCGGCCAATAAGATTTCCAAATGTGAGTAGTGTCTTCTGATTGTTGCTAGCTGAAAACCTAATCCTCTTTTCATTTTTGCTTTTTAGCACTGATTCAATTTGGACAGTCGCTTTTCACCCACTTCAACAGTACCAACTCTAATCGAAGCACTCGTTCGAACCGATCGTCGGTGACCAATGGAGGCAGCAGCAACAGCGGCGGTCACAAACGAGATCGACCCGTGGTGGAGCCAAAGACGGCTGCCCCGGTTGGCCAGCGAATTACTCAGGAGTTTGGAGGAATAGGGATCGCTTCAGCGTCGACCTCGACTGCTGCTGCTGCTGTCAGCACTGCGTCCTCCACTTCCTCCTCCTTCAGCACTGAAAGGCACGAAACTCTGCCGCTGGCGACGAAAACGATTGCCACCAAGAGCGGCCTTGGAGGTGGTGGAGCCGGTGCTGCTGCTGCTGTTGCTTCGGCGTTTCCTGCCTCGACGAACACCACTGAGGCGGCACTGCCCACTGCCCTGCAGCCGACGCCAGTGCTGACCACGACGATGACAGCAGCAGTGGCCAGTCATCAGCTGCAGCCACTTCAGCAGCAGGCTCAGCCACAGCACCATCAAATACTTCATCAACTGCCGTCGACGGTGCACGGACATCACCTGGTGATGAGCACTCCGCCGCCACCTCATCCTCAGCAGGCGGCAACTCCTTCGCCGTCGCCTCAGCTTCACCACCAGATGATGGGCGGCGGTAATCGGGCGGTGATGATCCACCAGTCGTCGCCCATTCGCCAGCCTTCGGTCAGCAACGCATCGCCTCATCAGCTGCAGGCCTTTCACCACCACCACGCCACCACCACCGTAGCCACCATGGCGGACGGCAGTGTACAGCAGCAGCAGCAGCAGCCCCAGCAGATGCAGTACCAGCCGTACATGCTCTTCCTCAACTCTGCCACCGGGCAGATGACCTCGGGCTCGTACGCCATTCCCGGACCGCCCGGTGGGCCGCCCTACATTCCCGTCATTGCGCTGGACCACTCGACGATGGGCGGGGCGGCGGTCGGCGCTCCGGAGGGAATGATTGCCGTCAGTGCTGGCGATCAACAGCAGCAGCAGCAGCACCTGCAGACACATCCCGCAATGGCCATGGCCTCGGTGGCCTCACTTCAGCATCATCATCAGCTCACTCAACAGCAACATCCACAGCAGCAGCAGCCTATGGAGGCGACCGTCATTGAGCAGCAGCAGCAGCAGTGCATCACCTCGGTCACACACAGTCACCAGCAGACGAGCATCTACGAGATGACCTCTTCAGCTCTAAGTCAGCAACAGCAACAACAACAGCAGCAGCAGCACGAGCTTATGATGATGATGGCCGCTTCGGATGCTGCCGCCGANGATGACCTCTTCAGCTCTAAGTCAGCAACAACAACAGCAGCAGCAGCACGAGCTTATGATGATGATGGCCGCTTCGGATGCTGCCGCCGACGCTGATGCCGCCGTTGGCGCTGGCGGTGGTGCTGGTGCTCAAGAAGATGACCTCACCGACGACGAGGAGGAGGAGGATGACTCGAACGACGGCTCAGACCGGCGGGTGAACGTTGTCCCGCTGGAGACGGCCGCAGCCTCGCTCACTGCGACCTCGGTTTCGTCGGCCACCGTTTCACAGACCACCGCTGCCGCCCCTTCTTCCTCTCAGCAGCACCACTTTCTAAAAAGTAGCAGCAACTTCAAGAGTTCTCCGTGCACTACGCCCACCAAGACCACCTCTCTCAGTGCGGTGCCCGCAGCATCAGTGGGCAGCTCGCCGAAGCCGATGAACCTGTCGGCGAATGGCGGCCCCTCAAAGACCGCCTCGATGAAGCCCATCTTTGGCAGCGGCCACCACAGCACCTCCTCATCACGCATCAGCCACGCAGCAGCATTGGCAGCGGCCGCCGCCGCGGACAGCGATGACTCCACCAGCAGCAATAGCAGCGACCAGGACTCGCAGGAGCGGTCGCCACCGCCGCCCACCACTTCATCCTCCTCCTCGACGGCAGCAGCTCCTGCTCCGCTGAAGCCGCTCATTATCAGTCGAGTTGGCAGTGGCGGAAGCGGAAATGGTACTTCAGCAGGAGGAGGAGGAGGAGGTGGTAACTCTCGAAACAACAACAACAGTCACTACCACCTGCAGCACCGCAGTCACCCGTATCAGAACAGGTCGTCCAAGGTTGTCCCCGGTGGTAAAACGGGAAGCGGTAATAGCGGTCATGTCATTGGCAGTCACCTCCATGCGGCACTCTCCAAGCCCAATTCATCCTCATCTTCATCCACCAACTCCACCTCGACCTCCACCACCACCTCATCNAATAGCGGTCATGTCATTGGCAGTCACCTCCATGCGGCACTCTCCAAGCCCAATTCATCCTCATCTTCATCCACCAACTCCACCTCGACCTCCACCACCACCTCATCGACGTCCAATAATAATGATAACCACAACAGTGGTGAAAAGTACAGCTCCTCAGTCACGCCCAAGGGCAATCGAATCAACATTCTCCGAAAGGGGGCACAGAATGTGTTCAGCAGCGGTGTTAAAAAGTCTATGAAGTAACATGCACTGAATCACCGAAAACTCCTCCAATCTCTCGAATCTTGAAATCTCCCAATCTCTTCTCTGCCTTTGTATCTATTCACTCAGATTTATTTGTTCACTCATTCTCTCATCTTTTCTAACATACTCTTTATTTTATATAATACACTTCTGTACTTTGTGTTCTCATTGTTTCACCTTTACGTTCTTATCTCTCCTATTTTCATCTTTGTTTTGTTAATCTTCACTTCCTTTCTCGTAAGGTCTGAAACTGCAATGCTATATTTTTCAATCACTCGCAATCGCAAACGAAAAAACACAATACAAACTTGAGACTATTAGTCTCTAATTGTAAAACAACACCTGTTTCTATCA